TTGTTTATATATATATATATATATATATATATATATATATATATATATATATATATATATATATATATACAAATATTTACATAACTGGTTGGTTTTAGCCTAATGTAACCAATTTTTGGGATGTTGTTTAAAAGAAATACATTGATGCTATGTTGACTTCAAGAGTACTGGTAAGCATTGTTTTCACTGATAACATTTTGTTAAGAAAAGGAAACAATATTGTTTTCTTCATTTTTTCTTTAATAAGGAACCAGATTTTGATTGCTCTCGAGCTTGCACTCTAATATAGACAATAACCTTACCTTCAAACTTGACACGCTATAACAATCCCTGTTAACACTGCTTTTTCATCATATATTCCATGTGTCATCAGGTTTGATTTAATGCTTTTTGCAATGCTAACAGTTCTCCCTTAATCATGTTCAGGGACGGAATATGACACAGCGGTGCCCTGGGCACGGACCGATTAAAGGCCCCCCCTCGGTTGAAATTCCGTTCCTTTTTTATTCTAAACTTTTCCAAACTTGTTAACTATATCATAAAATATCACGATTCTCAAATATAAGTAAATACATTTTGCACCTTTATAGATCATGCTAGTTTATCTATAATGGGCTATGGGAAAAGTAGCCTAATATTAGTGTAATCTATTAACTAGCCTAAGTATAAAACCCGTCTTTTAATTGTACTAGATATGGGTGTCATGTCATAGAATATTTTTAATATGACTGACTTTGTATTTAAGGTAAATTTAATAAAAACATTGTAAGGTACTAATTATAACACTTTCATTGTACATAAAGAGAGCAAAGAATATTTGCATTATCAAAGAATATTAACTTCAGTCAAGACAGAGTTCAAGCACTCTCAACAACTCCCATTATAATCACTGAAGCTGTTTATACTGTGAAATTAATATCTTACATCGTACACACATCTGCACTTTGTTTATAATGAGAGAATTCGCCAGAGAGCAGCATTCAGTCAGCGAGCGCGCGCACTGAACAAAACACAGGCTTTTCAGCAATGTCTCATCTGAATGCTTCTGAATGGCCATTGCATTCATAAGCTCAACAGAATCCTGTGTGATTGGTTGTAATGCGCAGCACTGTAAAAACGCGTCTGGCTCAGCGCCAGCGAAAGCACGAACGCAGATTTGAATTTGGCAGCTGATGCTGTGCCGCACTGAACGTTCTAATCGTATCAAATATAAAAAATATATATTATTCAGCCATTTTTGGTCTTTTGGAAGCTGCATTTAAAATCCACTTTGCTTAAAATCCTGAGGGGGCACGGTTGAAATCGCATTCTTGGAGGAGCAGTATTTCGGCTGGGCCCCCCTCTGATCTAGTTCCCTGGGCACGTGCCCGGTAGGCCCCTGTGTTAATCCGTCCCTGATCATGTCCCTGATCATGTTGCACTGACCAATCATCCCAGCAGAACGGTCTTACTGCTCTACATGTTGCTGCTCACTATGATAACCAGAAGGTGGCGCTCCTGCTTTTGGACAAAGGGGCATCTCCCCATGCCACAGCCAAGGTGAGAAGACATCAAATATATACGACATGCCCTTTTTTCTGTGAAATTTCGTTTCACATTTCTTTTTTTCTCTAGCTGTCTCGCTGTAGCAGAGCTGGGCATCCGAGTTAGTGACTCGGACTCGAGTCGCATTTTTATAGACTTAAGACTTGACTTCAGACTCGACCTGAAATGACTCTAGACTTGACTCGACTCGAGGAAAAGGACTCGTGAATATTTTAAAAGCAACTCGAGTCTTAATCCTTATATAACTAATATTCAAAAGGCGGACCGCATCCGCACCCTGGCATCCATACGGACTGCCAGCCGTTGCAGCACAATTTTGTGAGCAGCGCGTCAAAACAGCTGAGCGGATCACATAACAAGCGCTCGGGCTCATTTATAGTAAATATCTTTCAGCACTATATAGGCTGCTCTAGTATTTTTATCTAAAGCCAAACACGCTTTATTCAAGCCATTTCAGTATGGCGGGCCAGACGGTCCAAAATTAAGACTAATGACTTGTTGCGGGAAGTCACTATACTATTGCCAGGAGCTACTGAGTTTGCCACGACTCACCTTCCTCACACGGCGGGCGACTCACTCTCCTCACCCCGCAGGGGACTCACTCTCCTCACACGGCAGGCGACTCACTCTCCTCACAAGTCACATCCTTCAGAAATCATTAAAATATGCTGATTTGCTGCTCAAGAAACCTTTTTTAATTAGTATTATTATTAATGTTTTTTGAGCAGCAAATCAGAATATCAGAATGATTTCTGAAGGATCGTGTGACTGGAGTAATGATGTAAAAAATGTAGCTTTGAAATCACTATAAATTACATTTTAAAATATATTCAAATAGAAAACAGCTATTTGAAATAGCCTAGTAAAAATATTTCAAAATTGTACTGTTTTGCTGTACTTTGGATCAAATAAATGCAGGCTTGATGAACAGAAGAGACTTCTTTAAAAAACATATAAAAAAACATATACTTTATTTATTACCTGGAGATGACTTGACAAACACAAATAAATCACATATTGTCGCAATCATATGTTTAATGTCTTCATGTTTCCAAACGTTTCTGTTTTTCTGTGAAAACAACTGTTTCATACAGCAATAGCTGGACGCTTTTGTCCATATTAGGAATTTCCTTGTACGACTTTCTGCGTGAGAGGCCCTCCGGCTTCGAGCATGAATAAAACATGCACTGCACGGAGTGTTTAGCGCTCCGCTTGTTCATCTCGCCTTATTCTGGGTCCGAATAAACCACCAGATCATGCACAGACTATCCTGTCTCTTTGAATTTAAATCTATATTTATTCACACCGGCTCTTGAAAACCTCTATACGAACACACTTGCCCGAAAAAGTGCGGGGGACGAATTTACGTCATATTAAAAGTGGGGGGGACACGTCCCCCGCGTCCCCCGCGTAATCTACGCCCCTGGACTATTGCCTTATATAGTGGTTGTCTTATTGTTTGTGGGCTTTGTGTTAAAAAACCCTGGCTTTTAACACTTTCGCTAGGTATTTGAGTAAATGAAAACACAATACTTACATTTCAATGTGAATTCCCCCACAGAACTCTCACCTGCCCTATTTGAATATAAACACCGTCGTCATCTGCGCACAAGTGATTCTGGGATATGGTAGGGTGCGAAGTGTCCATCAGATGTACACTTAATTTTCCTGGGAAATGGAGGGTGCATTTGAAGTCGCTTTCGAAATACGTCAGCCTTCGTCGCACCGCGGTGACGCAATCAGCCTTGGAATGCAGTCTTCGGAGGGTGCATTCCGAATTGGGACAGCTTACGTTGTGACGCTGTGATGCAATCGCACTTCAAATGCGCACTTCAGAGTCCACGCACTTCAGTTTGGGACAGCCTTTGTCGTGCTACTGTGATGCAATCGCACTTCAAATGCGCCCTCCGGAGTCCACGCACTTCAGTTTGGGACACAGCTATAGCATTCAACACTCTCCCCTGGTGCACTACATAGAACTGCCCGGTCCACAGCAGTACCGGAACCAAAGTTGTTATCGGGCATAACATCACATCTTCCCCACTTTAAAAGTAAATAACTTTCCTTTGAAATCTTTTGTTCTATCAATTTGTACTTGTGGCAAAAATAAAATTTTCATATTATAAAATGCACCACAGAATTTTCACAATCAACTTTTTTTTTTTTAAACAAATTTCAATTAACCTTTCAGGAGGTCTAACAGTGCGTTTTGGTTTGCAATACTTCCCAGGTGAAGCAGTAACTTCCTTTGTCAAATCAGAGTTGGTGTGATCCACAGAACTGTTGTCAGCTTGTTCACTTGTGGAAATGTCAGACACATCTTTGTCATTTGACTTTGACTCGGCTTCTTGAACAGTCACTTGTGGTCTTAAGTCCCCTCTGTTACTTCTTAGAATTGCACCACGCTCGGTCTGAATCTCGTATGACCGTGGTATTAATTATCTTTCAACACATCCTTGTTGCGTCCATGTTCCTGTTGCATGATTCAGGATACGAACTCTATCTCCAGGCTTGAGTTTCTGCAGGGTTTTTGCTTTCTTATCGTATTTCTCTTTTTGTTTGGTTTTATGTTTTTGTTTAGCTTCTTTTATTTAGTTTGCCCCTGCAGGTGTCAACAGATCCTGGTGGATGGCTAAGTTAGTGCGTATCCGTCGACCCATCAACATTTGTGCTAGGGACAACCCATTTTGAAGCGGAGCACTCCTGTAAATCATCAGACTCCTATGGAAGTCTGTCTTTCCGTCGTGACTCTTCTTCATGAGAGCCTTCACAATCTTTACAGAACTCTCCGCCAGCCCGTTGGACCTAGGGTAGTTTGGGCTTGATGTGGTATGTTGAAATCCCCACTCTTTCTTAGAATTGCACCACGCTCGGTCTGAATCTCGTATGACCGTGGTATTAATTATCTTTCAACACATCCTTGTTGCGTCCATGTTCCTGTTGCATGATTCAGGATACGAACTCTATCTCCAGGCTTGAGTTGCTGCAGGGTTTTTCTCTTTTTGTTTGGTTTTATGTTTTTGTTTAGCTTCTTTTATTTTGTTTGCCCCTGCAGGTGTCAACAGATCCTGGTGGATGGCTAAGTTAGTGCGTATCCGTCGACCCATCAACATTTGTGCTAGGGACAACCCATTTTGAAGCGGAGCACTCCTGTAAATCATCAGACTCCTATGGAAGTCTGTCTTTCCGTCGTGACTCTTCTTCATGAGAGCCTTCACAATCTTTACAGAACTCTCCGCCAGCCCTTTGGACCTAGTTTGGGCTTGATGTGGTATGTTGAGATCCCCACTCTTCAGTGAAAGCATTAAACTCCCTACTGCAAAATTGTGGACCATTATCAGAAAACACATCACACGGAACTCCATGTCTTGCAAAGACTGTCTTCAGAAAAGCAATGACAGCTTGGCTAGATGTCACCTGTAGTATTGCAACTTCTGGATAGTTGGAGAAATAATCGGTAACTACAATGTGGCTCTTACCATTGCAGTCAAACAGGTCTACTCCAACCTTTTGGTATGGATGATCAGGCACTGGATGAGGCTCTGCTTCTGCAAATGAGTGGCTCTGCTTGTTGCTTAGACCTGTATGTGAGACATATTTTGCATGAGGCTGTAGTCTGACTAATATCATGGTTTATCCTTGGCCAGTACATTACCTCATGGGCCCTGCGCTTGCATTTCTCTTCTCCTAGATGTCCCTCATGAACTTTCTGCAGCATTCCTATGCGCATCGATGCAGGGATGACAAACTTGTATCCCTTGAAGATGATGTCATTCACCACTGAAAGCTCTGCTCTGCACGACCAGTAATCTTGGATTTGCTTTGAACAGTCACTTTTCTTTTCTGGCCAGCCTTTCAGGATGAACTCTTTGAGTTGTGTCATCCATATCAGTTGCTTTTCTTATTTGTTCAGTTTTCTCTGGGGACACGGGAAGAGAGGTTACAATCATGTCAACATGCGCTTGTATGTCTGCACTTTTCTCACTGTTTAGGTTTTCATGCTTGTCGACTGCCCGAGAGAGTGTATCTGCTGCAAACATGAATTTTCCTGGTGTGTAGATCATTTTGACATCATATTTTTGGAGTCTGATGAGCTTTCATTGGATTCTCATTGGACAGTCATTTAAGGGCTTGGACATTATGGACACCAGTGGCTTATGATCTGTTTCCACTTCAAAGGACTGTCCATAGACATACTGGTGGAACCATTCGCAGGCATACGTGCAAGCCAGAAGTTCCTTTATCTATTTGTGTATAGTTGGACTCTGCACCAGTCAAGGCTCTTGATGCGTAAGCTACCGGGTGCCAGCTCTCACCATGTTGCTGCAGAAACACAGCACCTAGGCCATATTGTGAGGCATCTGCTGAGATTCATGTGCTCTCGTGTGGGTCATAATATCTGAGCACTGGCTCCTCTGTAATGATGTGCTTCAGATTTTGAAAGCATGCTTTCTGCTCGTGAGGCCACATCCACTCATTCTTTTGTTCGAGGAGACATCTGAGTGGAGCAGAATGCGTTGACAGCTGGGGAATGTATCTGGCCAGGTAAGTGACCATTCCAAGGAATCTTCTCACTTCCTCCTTATTTTGAAGCCGTTCCATGTTGACTATTGCGGAGGTTTTTCTTGGGTCTGGCCTGACACCTTCCTCAGACAAACCATATCCAACAAAAGTTAGACTCTTGACTGCGAACTCACATTTCTGTCTGTTCAATTTCAGATTAGACTGTCTTGTAAGCTCTAGAACTTGCCTCAATCGTGTGTCGTGTTCTTGACGGTTGGAACCCCACACAATTATATCATCCATCATAGTCTCTACGCCTGGTAGGTGCTCAAAGATCATGTGGATTGTTTTGTGGTACCCTTCTGGTGCCGACAGAATGCCATACGGGAGACGTAGAAAACGATATTGGCCTTCTGGAGTATTGAAGGTACACAGTTTTGAACTTGCCTCATCAAGTTTCATTTGCCAAAAACCGGATGACACATCCAGCTTACTGAACCACTTCGCTCCAGCAAACTGAGACATCTCTTGGATCAAGACATATTCTCAATGCACCATTTTTCTTAAGCACAATGACGAGTGAACTCACCCAGTCTGTTGGTTCGTCAATTTTCTTTATGACATTTAACTTCTCCATGCGAGCTAGTTCCTCTTTGAGTTTTTCACGCAATGCAAATTGAACTTTTCTGCATGCATGTACCACCGGAGTCACCGTATCATCAATGCTTTTTTTGTGCTCCCCAGGCAAGCATCCCAGTCCTTCAAACACATCTTTGTAATCCTCCATGAATGAAGTTTCCTCTGTTTCAACCTGTGATGTCACTACAAACACTCTTCTCACCAGGTCAAGTTTTTCACATGTACTCAGTCCCAGAATTGGCTGGATGCTTTTTTCTATGATCAGCATTTGTGTCTTTAGCAGCTGTCCCTTGTGTTTCAGAGTCACCAGGCAGCTTCCTTTGACAGGAACATCCTCACATGTGTATCCTGTTACTTTAATTTTTGTTGAATTAATTTAGATTTTGACTTTGAGGGTTTTGTAGTCATCCATTGACAACAGGTTAACTTGTGCACCTCTATCTAATTTGAATGGAATTATTGTCTCATTTACAGTCAGTGGTACAATCCATTCAGCTTTGTCTGCCGTGTTTGTCTGAACAGAATCAACAAAGAATTCCTCTGGCTGTTCTTCAACTGCATATACTTTTTTCTTTGCAACATTTTGCAAAATGATTATTTTTCCCAAAGCTATTGCCGGTTTCTCCATAAGCAGGACAAGATCGTGGCATATGTGTCCCTCCACATCTTCCGCACGTACTTTTTGGAATTTTCACTCTCTGCTGTCTTTGTTTTGTTGACTGTTTTGTGTGCTGCTCCTCTCTTTGTATAGCATGCACTGCAGCATCATCTCTATGCAGTAGTTCCTTGGCTTGTGCACATGTTATTTCAGCAGCTGTAGACATAATTACAGCTTTCTCTAGTGTCAGAGCTGGTTCACGTAGCAGTCTTTCCCTGAGACCATTAGCTGGAATCCCATAGACTATTCGGTCTCTCACTAGTGAATCTTTTAAATCTCCAAAGTCACAAGTCTCACTCAGTGCGTGCAGTTCAGCAAGGTACTGATCAAAGGTCATTCCTTGTTTCTGATCAGCAGAGAAAAATTTTAATCTCTAAAATGTGACATTCTTGCTTGTAAGTTGGCACAAAGTATTCTTCAAACTTTGTCATGAGAACAGTCAGTGTTAAATTTGCTTCGTCAAGTTGAAAGCTGTTATATATGTTCAGTGCATCCTCACCTATGACATGCAGAAAGATCGATGCTTTTAACTTCTCATCACCTCCACCTGCGCCACTAGTAGCAAGATAGATGTTGAATCTCTGCTTGAAACTTTTCCCGTTATCAGCCAAATTACCGACGAACTGCATAGGTGATGGCGGATTTAACTTCTCCATGATGGGAAAACACTCAAGAGTTCTCTTACTTTGTGTCAATGATGTCTTTTCGACCTGCTTTTCGCTGCTCTGCTGCACTTGGCCCGCGTGCATGCGTCTCTTGTGCACTCGTCCCTCGGCCGCTCTCCGTGCAGGTTTCACTCACCGTGGGTCCGGTCTCACTGGCGTTTTTACACAAACTCTCCAGTGTTCGCCAGTCCCTATTTCTGACACCATGTTATGTTATTAATGTGACGGGACAAAGACTTGCTGTGGTTTCTGATCATTTATTCAGTCCGCAGACACATAGCATTCAACACTCTCCCCTGGTGCACTACATAGAACTGCCTGGTCCGCAACACAGTACTGGAACCAAAGATGTTATCTTTGATGTTATCAGGCATAACATCACAGATAGAACGTAAACTTTGAAACTGCTGGTTATCTTTCTTTTCTGCTCAAGATGAGAACGTTTTGATTATTGTAGACATTTTTAGTAGATAATGCTTTTAAGTAAAATATTAAAATAGTATAGAATTCAGGAGGAAAAGTCTGAACAGAAACAGTATTTTTTTGTCACATGGCCTCGCATGTATCTAAATGTAAAAATTCAATACATGTTATTTATTTATTTATTTATTTTTGTCCGGACCTCTGCTTGGAAGAAAATATAGAGACCGCACCGCTTGGAACTTTATTTGAATACCCCTGACATATACAGTATAAAAAATAAATAATTTCATTTGTATGGTTTTGTAATATCTGTGCCACATATTTCCTTATGTGTCATGGTAGATAGGACTCTTATTATATAATTTAATTACAGAAAAACTGTTTTGAACATGGTAATGGATTCAAACATAAGTAATAGGCTGGATGTGCATTAACCTTATGTACACGTATGTAAGATAACCGTATCTTAACACTTCTTTTTTTTTTTAAGAAAAAACAAAGAAAAAAAGCATATCATAGGTCATATATTTTGTCTATAGCCTAAAACAGCTTCGTAAATAGGAAGATTTCAATATATGAGGATTCTGAATGGGATTTTTTTTAGCGGGCCATTAAATGACTTGAGACTCGACTCGGACTCGTGACCAAAGACTCGAGACTTGACTCCAGCAACAAAGACTTGTGAACATCTGTGCTCTGTAGTTTCACCAGCCTAGCTGTCCTTTGTGTCTTTTCTCCGTTCATGTAGAATGGATACACTCCCCTTCACATAGCAGCAAAAAAGAATCAAATGGAAATAGCTACCACACTCCTGCAATACGGAGCTGAGACCAACATCCAGACCAAACGGGGTGTGATGCCGCTCCATCTGGCTTCCCAAGAGGGACACAGTGAGATGGCAGCTCTGCTTCTGCAAAGAGGAGCTAATGTCAATGTAACCACAAAGGTGAATGACAAAGAAAATACTTCAAATCACTACAAATATCAAATAAATATAAATGTAAACATTGTAAAAAAAAAAATACATTTGAGGCAGAGTTTACGAAACTGCATTAAGCATTTTATTTCCATTTTTAATTCAATATACTGTCCATTACTTTGAGATATAGTAAAATTAGCTATCTGGTCCTTTGTGTTTCCATACCTCGAAACATTATCACAATAAAGTAAATTACATTTGAAATAAGACAAAGATACAAAATCAAATAACCATTGAATCCAATGGAATAATTTATATTACAGAAGAGCAAAAAAAAAAAATTTAAATAGCAATGGGACAAAGCAATGCAATAATTGGGTTTTTAAATGGTTTTATATACTCTGTGGTCATGTAAAACTGTGATTATACATGACAAAAGAAAATTAAAGAACAGGTAAGCCATTTTGTTTGTTTTGTCATTTAATCTGACCTCTTGATGGATGTGTATTGTGCATGACTTTCTGTTCACTTATAAGCCCTATATTTGCTTGAGAATAGCCAAGTCCCAGACTATTATTAAGCTCTTCATTTCAGATTTTTTTATGATGATGAACTCCAGCTCTGTTGTGTAAAGGTCTTTGGTTTGATTGATTCATATATATATATATATGAAAAAAAAAAAAAATATATATATATAATTGTCACTTAATGGTAATACGTGACCAACAAACAAAAGTAAGAAGAGTATTATAATTTCACAAAGTAAGATATTTTCCCCAATAAATATCACCGATGCTGACAATATGATCTCTATTTCAGTTGGGATACACAACGCTTATCGTTGCCTGTCACTATGGAAATGCTAAGATGGTTAATTTTCTGTTGAAGAGTGGGGCAAGTGTCAATGCTAAAACAAAGGTATTTCTTAATCTATTAATTTTTTATATTAATATAAAGAACATTTTTATATTTAAATGAATAAAAAATACTCAAACTATTTAACTACAGTATAAATTGATTTCCACATACAAAATGAGTGTAATAAATATTAATTAGACAAAAGATAGCAATGTGTTAAAGGCATATTCTGAAATATAACATTTGCATTCTTGTCAGAATGGTTACACACCTCTACACCAGGCTGCACAACAAGGAAACACACATATCATTAACGTCTTGCTCCAGCATGGAGCCAAACCCAATGCCATCACTGTGGTGAGTAAATACATACACATGCGAACATACAAACACATACTCCATTTAAACATTTTCTTCAATAAAATCAGCATAAAATGGATTCTATTGACTTTTTTAATACATGTTCCCCTGAAAAAAAGAAAAAAAGTTTCAAAGAGGGGGGAATAAAAGCAATTTTCTAATCTCATTGTTGATATTATGTCATTTACTGTGTAGAATGGAAACACCGCTCTTGCCATCGCACGTCGCCTTGGTTACATTTCTGTGGTTGACACTCTGAGAGTAGTCACAGAGGAAATTATCACTACAACAACGGTAAGTTTACCTAAGGATATGCATTTATAAGACGTTCATAGAAATATGCATTGTGGATAACTAGATTAAAAATAACAACAAAAACCACATTTGTTTCTATGTAGACAGTGACAGAGAAACACAAGCTAAATGTGCCAGAGACCATGACAGAAGTCCTTGATGTGTCTGACGAAGAGGGTGAGTGTGACAAACAATTATTTTATTCCCTTATTTTATTTAACTGCTTTATTTAATCAATCAGTAAGTCAGTCACTCAATCCCAGAATATTTCGTCAAGTATATTGGCAAATCTGAAGTTCACTTGCAATCTCATGACAAAATTTCAGTTGTGTGTATTCTGTTGTGATTGGGTTTCTAATGTGTATTAACATGGACTTTTCTGTAGTTCCAACAAGACAGGTAGATGATGGAGCTATGACTGATGACTTTATTGATTTTGAAGGTATAGAGTGACAGAGGAGTTAATAAGCAGAATACTAAACATTGGTGTATTTTTATAAGTTGAAAATAATGGCTGAAAATGTGGTTCTAATTATCTCGTCTTTGAAAAGGTACAAGAATTCCCAGTTGGAAGTTAATGTGTAAATGTTAAGTTAATGTGTATTTTTTTTAAAAATGTGTACATAGGACAAAAGTGTGTTATGGCATGGCTGGAGATTTTTTGGCATTAGATTTATGAATATCAGCGTTTAGTTTGTCACATCCTGGCAAAACGTCTCAGGTTACTTATGTAACCATGGTTCCCTGAGTAGGGAACGAGACACTGCATCCTCTAGGGGTTGCTATGGGGAATGCCTCATCGTGATCCGTGTCTGAAGCATACATTGAAAAATCACCAACAACATGTTGGCCGGTGACAGCCCATGATGTCACTACCAGTGCGACTATAGTATAAATAGGCGCCGGGAGAACAAGTCATTCACGTCTTCATCTGAAGCTTGCGTTCCAATCATGGCAGGAATCCTAGAGGACGCAGTGTCTCGTTCCCTACTCAGGGAACCATAGTTACATAAGTAACCTGAGACGTTCCCTTTCAAGGGAACTTCAAACTGCGTCCTCTAGGGGTCGCTATGGGGAACGGTATACCCACGCCGCCATGCTGAGGGGAGTGCAGGCCAGAACCATGGCGAGCACTAAGTACCAACTTTACCATTTCCATGGTGAGTTGCCCCTGGGACGGCAGGCGGCTGTCCGTGACTTTATCCCCTACGGCCAAAGGCCTAGGCTACATACCAGACTTACCTGTTAGGGCCAGACTCCTGGGCCCGGGGTAGAGCTCAAGGCTTGGAATCATAATGGATTCCTTTAAGGGGATACGACCAAAACACCTAGTATCACACTAAGTCTTGCCCTTTCACACAGGGGCTACTGCTTGCTCTTGCCTAAGCTCTGAAAGGAACTGTCTCAACAGACCTCCAGTGGCAACACCCTGTTAAAGTGGGTATCCTAGGATACCTAAGTGAAGTGGCGCCCAAGGTGAATGGGGCTAAACCAGCTCAAGAAAGGGCACGAATATCCCCTATAGGATTTTAGAAAAGAATGCAAAGAATTGCATGCGAACTTACCACAATGTGGATTTTAGAAAGTGCACAAAGCCTTCACGTG